ATCTTGTGCAAACATTTTGATGTGTTGCGTTTATCTTACTATTTAAACCTTGGGATAGTAAGTGAAGCTGATACACAGTGATTTTTACTCTGCTTAATGTTACACTATTCTTAATAAACCAGTGTGATACTCTTCAAACGTACCACTGAGGACAAATAATTTTGAAGTTTATTACCCATGATACCCCAATAGATATTAGAATTTATATTTTTTAAATATCCATTAGAAATGTAAGTTAAGTATTTCTTTAGCATGGCTCTATATTAATTATATAATGGGTTTTACAATTAAGCATAAAATCAATATAAGATAACTGGTGTTAATTCAACTTAATGAAGTATCTAAATATTTTCTCTAAAGATATTGTTCAGTTGGTGACACAGCAGATGCAAAATTAGGTCTGAAGACATTTAATAATCGGACAGTTATAACAACCAGTTGCCTAGGATTATAATAAGAATTGAGTGGGCAGAGATGGATAGTGACTAACAATGGAACCTAGGACGCTCATTTTGATTTATTTAGAACTCGTCAACTGGATATGCCTGTATTCCGGAGTTTGGTTTTACTCTGGGACTCGAAACCAGTGCCGTTTGCTTCAAATGCCGTCGCGTTATCCACTTATCAAGCGAGTCTAGATAGCCACTAGCTTGTGCAATGGGGTGACTTTTAATCTATATGCATTGCACATTTGAATCCTCTCATTGATGTACAGGACTGAAACTGATGAACCTATTTTGGCGCATGTCCATCCTATACTATTTGCCTCGATATTCCCATTGAGTTACAAGCATTTTAACCATAGATGGATGTAGTCCTAAAAATAGATGGGAAGATTCAAACAACCAATATATATAAAGTAAAATTAAGGATCGAGTAAGTTTGAAGATCCTGAATATCACCCATCATGTTTGATTAAAAGACAAAAAGTAATGATAATGATTGTTTTCGGACATCTAGCTGATACCGGTCACTGAAATGAATGAATAAAAAAGGTAATCTAATTTCAGGTCAATATTTTATGTATCGGTTTAGTATGAACTTCATCCAGTATGACAGGTACGGATTCGAAATGTGATACATTTTCTGCAATAGATCAGGGGAAATATAATCGATGTTTTTCAGTAACTATATATGTATACATGATGCTGTTGTGTATATGAAACGGTATATAATTAAGTGTATTTCGGTCTAACGACGACGCGTTTTAGTGAAGTTTTTCTGGAAAATCAATAAATCCTCATTTACACCCGTTTTCGATGTTGTTCTTTTGCGTCGTGAGAGTTACAGTGATTCCCAAATGTTAATTAGTAGCAGTGGGACAGAGGATAGAACAGTCATCACATTTATGTTAATTTAACTTTCAAAGCTATCTTTGGACTTCCACTGAACTTTTCATATGCTTCCGGAATCCGTCTTCTGGATATAGCAAAAGTCATATTTGTACAGATCAATTTATCTAATAATTATGTGAAGAAAATGTTTGTACAGCCTTTTTATTTAGCTTGACCTTCAATTTAGTTACCTATATAGTCCTCAAAATCTTTCAGTCTTTGTTTCTCGTTTTGCATTCACATAATCCGTGTATCTTATAAATCTGATTATCAAATTCTTTGTACTAATTTTATTGGTTTTACAAATACTATAGAATATGTATTTTTGATTATTTTTGATCTTACCCAATTCTTAGTTTTAGTCTTATACTAAGTAGTTTTTTTATCCGTCGGCTTACTAACTGATCGCTATCTTTGTAGAATGTATTAACATACATCGTTAAAATGATCCGTCACTATAATATTTGAGACATATTTTGTACTTAACTGTAAACATGTACATTAGTGTCCAACTGTGTTGTGGGGAAAATTGTAAAGGAATACTGTTTCTCTCAAGTTGTATTTTAAGCTCACATCGCACCCGTTAAAACGTAACTGATGCTTTTTAAGATGTTTCTCTAGTAACCATTACTAACTTTTCCAGGAAGTGAAATTACAATCTATAAATTATACGGTTTAAAGGAAAACCTTTAAAAATATCCCGTAAACAGCTTAAATTTTCATTATAATCAAATTATTATGTTATTTTATGTTCAACTAGTTCCAATTTAAGTTACAGTGATCGTGTTTTTCATTTCGGATATTTCACTATTAAGATCTTAAAGCGACCACACTACACCGTTCTTATCTGTGCAACATAAATAGTTGTTATTTTAGTGACATCGATAAATGTCAGTTTAATGCGATTGCTTCATAGAAAAAAATCATATTTATACTGAATTGAATAGATAATCACTTACCGATTTTCATGACCTTGTTCATATATTTGTCACTAAATGATACTTAAGATATATCGTCTTTTGGTACCATAACCTTTCTGAAATGTTTATAACTAGAAAGGTAAAAGGTTACGTACAATGAAAATATCTCATTATTGGTTCGGTATTCGTGTATATGGAATACATGCAAAGGACTATTTTTTATAACATACAGAAAAACGTCGCGACTGTTTTTAAACATTAATTTTCCTGCTGTTCCTACTTGTCAGGGATAGAGACAGTTGTAAAACAAGACCTACTTGTATTCCGGATAGAACACGTGCAACATTTTAGCTTCAAGATGGTATTACTGAATGCTGTGGTAGTAGTATTATTTAAAATAGCTGGTTATTGAAAACTTAGTGTATTCATTTTCGAGTCAGCATATGTGTACAATTCTGTTCACCTGTCATTATATTGACAGATTTACTGCTGACATTAAAAAGGTATGTACATGAACTAGGTGAGACGAATGGTTAAATTATGTAGTGTTTTCAGTGAAAAATCTTTGTAAAATTACCAGTTACCAGTTTTCAGCGTGAATCTCTATACAATGAGGTAAGCTTAATTATGTAAAAGATTTCATTGTGTTAAGACTCACAGAAAGTCAAAATAATAAAGTTGACATGTACAATACATATAAAGCTAATTCATTATTACAAATGTCAATTTATCACGTTCAGAAGTAGCTAGAGATGAATGTGAACTTCTTTATATATTTTTTAGGCACAGGAACGTTTGGTCGTGTAATTGTAGTTCATGATAAATGCTCACAACAATACTATGCATTGAAAGTATTGGTTATAGAAGAATTGGTACGATTGAAACAAGTAGAACATGTCAAAAACGAAAAGTCAATACTAATGCAATTAAACCATCCTTTTATTGTAAAGCTGTAAGTTTTTAAAAAATATAGTCACTCGTTATTTTATTAAGTTGTTAGCTATTTGGTGCACTGTGAAAACGATAAATTTCTATTAGGCTGTATATATAGCACATTATGTAAACCGACAGAATGAATACAAAGGGACCGATGCAAGAGGTAATACCGACAGGTTTCGAAAGGGATTTTTTTATCAAAGACAATCAGAATTTAAACGATAACTGGTGCACAATAAATAAATAATGTTTAGGAAAGTTAAATATTTTACTGAATTTCTAGACATTTCAACGAACTCTCGGTGCTGAATAGTTTTATCATATAGATAAATTGATTGTGAAAGCCGCATGAAGATAGGTTTCTTAACTTTATTATCACAGTGGAAATGCTAGTCATTAAACTAGGTCGAATACAGGAATCATTTGTTTGGATTTTATTCCCATAGTAGTAGAAACACACTGTTTACCCGTGTTTTTTATGTATATTTGGTTTTCATGTCATACACATGGTAGTTAAACACTTAGGATTATATGAATAAGTTGAGTGACTGTTTAATTGTTCGGTTTGATCCCTCGCAAATGTTATCTATTTCAACCATATTTATTTGCTAATAATTATCATCACTGTTTGTCTTAGGTATCTAGAATAAATATTTATATGTACGACATTCAGAATAATATAAAAAGTGCTAAATCTGTTCTTAAAAGAAGCTCCCGTCACGTCACAACAGTCGACAATGAAGCACCATTTTTGTTGTCTCTGGATCAGCGTAAATGTACCCACTGAGGATGAAACAAGTGGAGTATTTCCGACCAGAACAAGCGTTTTGCTGATTACGAATTTCTAGTAATAAGTAATTCATACTTTCTTTTCATCTTAGACGAAGTTAGGTACTACTTCCAGTCACTTAAGTGGAAAGGTAATCTGTCTATTGAAAATCAAAGCAAAATAAGGTTTGCTTTCACAGTGAGATTACTCGATTCATCTAAAATAAAATCGTGGTAAACATTAATGTTATATCGATTGGGTGCGTGCATGCCCTCTTTAATATATGAGTGATATGACCGCTCAATTAGAGAAGAGAGAATTATCGATCGGAGCAATGATACACAAAATCGTATGAGCAGTCTTGAGTACTTATCAGTCCTGCTATTTGTCTAGCCAAGCCAGTTAAGTCCAGAACACCAATAACAGCCACTGCAATATGAATCATTGTTCTCAAACATACTGGGTTTATATACCAAACAAACTGACTACATCGTACCATGAAATAGAAAATTACATTTGTACAAGATTTGGCCAAATGTGGCTGTGAATAGGGGGAACAGTAATCAATGGACTGGGGATAATTCATGAATGGTAAACCGTATAATAATAGTTTATAGATCAAAATAAAGCTTATAATAAGAGGAACATGAATAGGAATAGTTAAGTTACTTAACAATTATACAATAGGAAATATACATATTACATTAGCCCATAAATAGCCCTCAAAAGTTACCATTTGCAATTCTATTCGGGATACAACAATTAATAACATGCATTAAAAGCATATCTTATTCAGGAGATATTTAAATTCAGACAAGTTTGTTACAAAGAATAATCTCTTCCATATATAAATATTACTTAAATAGATAAGTCAAACGAAATTGCGCTAACACAGTAAGAAAATAAAATATCAAATGCAACACTACAGATGAATTAAATGTCAAGTATTTTGGAAGCATAAGTAGATTGATATTTCCAATGAAAAAGCACATTATCACAGGTTGAATTTTATGTTTTAATGTGTTCTTTCTAGTTTTGGACATTATATTAACCTTTTATGTTGTTTGTTAAGTTTACCATCATGTGTCAGTTTTTTGAATCGTTCCTTGTTTATTATGAAAATTAAGTTACAATTTCCGAGATGTTTATTAGCAGTCCACGGAACATATACTGTAGTTTATATTGCTTTAAACGGTAATAACATTAATTTTTGCTTCACATTATTCCATGACAAGAGAAAAATGAGTAAACTGGAAAATTCCGATTAAATAATTAACAAAAAGAAAGTAACATATATGTAACTGTGGTTTAGAAATGATCGTTTTGTTTAAAACGTAATGGTTGATATTTTTAGTTAGTGTAAAACGGTTCACTTTAATAGTGGCATCCATCACAGGTTTCACATTTTGATTAGACGATGACGGAGCACAAACATTTTACACTGAAGTGATTTTTGCTAACTACATTTCTTATTTGAACAGATATTATTTTTCAGTCAGTTACGACATTAATTGTGGTCAAATTATGACTGTAAATTAACTTTATCAAATTGAGCATCTACTTGATACACTGACTATAATTACATAACAAGCATTATGTGGATTAAAATTTAACGAATTAAAGAACTAATGTCTGATAGTATTAAAAAAATCATGAAACAGAAACTTTATTACAAGTTATCAGTCAAAAATCATGCAAAATTATCTTAGTAATTGTACTTATGTTACAGTCAACAGTCAACATCCTCATCACAAAGAATATCTTTGTCAAAACACCTCATATCTCAGGTAAGGTATTTATGGTCATTTTAGACACTAACGTATGCATATTCAACGCTACAATTGAATTTCTTGTTCCGTACGTATATAGGTCAACTTAAATCAGTCAACGTTACATTGTCTAAACCATAGTTGAAATTACAATACGATATCAAGATAAGAGGTTTAACACCATATTTGATAATAATGAGTCTAAAACAATCAATTAGAAGTAGAGTTTGGTATGTCATAGCATAATGTAAACTCCAGAGCATAATTGTTGCAATCAAAAATAGCCACTATAGATACTCAGTGATGATTATCAGTTATAATCATAACGGAATTAAGTTGAAATCATTGAATTACCTTGCGTTTCCTGTTTTTTCCCGCGAATATATTCAATTCATGAAATCTTTAACTAAACATTCCTTCTGAGTAGCTTTATACACCCAACGACAATTGATATTTTAATTTGAAACTAAGAAAATACTTTAGTGCAGTGTGACAATTGCTTAGGTAGATGAAAAACTTCTCTAACCAAATTAAAATGGTCATAACTTTATATGCAATGAACTACTCATACCACTTTTTCTTATATGCATGTAAAAGTTGAAACAATCCAATTTCTTCTTCGAACGCTAATAATGAGTGAAAAATTTTATGCTTATGAAATCAATATTATTCTGATATATCCGTAGATTACATATTTCCTTGTTTCAAAACAAAAACTTGGGAAGATTATTCACAGTTCCAAATGAAAGAATATTTTCAGGTCATTAAGAATAAAACAGAAAAGGAGATATAAAGTATCATTTAGATAGTTATTATTGATTTGAACTAGTTTAGAAAGGTATTTAGATTACTAGTAGCTTTGACCTTGACACTTAACGGGATTATGATTCGTTAAGATCTAAGAGACAGGAAAGCTAGAATACTATGTTTTTAACTAGTTTATCCGATGAAATAATCTATGGTGATATAGTTGTAAGTTCATTTCATAAAACTAATCAGAAAATGAAAATGTGATAAATCATTGGATACTTACTACTCCTTGAATTTTACTAGCATTTTACCTTTTAATTTAATGAACGATGTATTAATGACCAAAAATTTATGATCTGGTAAATATTTCTTCATGGAGGAAATCTCAAGGTATTTTGGTTATTATTTTATTTATTTTATTGATTTTTATATGTATTTTATTAAATGCTTTTTAAATCTGAAACTTCTTCGACATTATGGAGTTCCTCAGAAGATTGTCAACATTATCCAGAACTCATACGACAGACTACAGTTCAAAGTCGTACAGGGGGGCCAGCTGACAGATGCATTCCAAGTTAGGACTGGAGTCAGACAAGGCTGTCTACTCTCCCCCTTCTTCTTTCTTCTGGTGATTGACTGGATTATGAAGATCCCGACATCTGAGGGGAAGCACGGAATACAATGGACATCTCAGAATCAATTAGACAGTTTGGACTTCGTAGATGACCTAGCCCTTCTACTCCATCCATATGAACAAATGCAGATGAAGACAACTAATGTAGCAGCAGTTTCTGCATCAATAGGCCTCAACATACACAAAGGAAAAAGCAAGATTCTCAAATATAAAACGGCGAACACTAACCCAGTCACACTTGATGGCGAAACTCTGGAAGATGTGGAATCTTTCACGTATCTGGGAAGCATCATTGATAAAAAAGGAGGATCTGATGCAGATGTAAAGGCGAGGATCGGCAAAACAAGTACTAGATTTCTATAATTGGAGAACATATGGAACTCAAAACAACTGTCAACCAACATCGAAATCTCAATCTTCAATACGAACTTGAAGACAGTCCTACTGTACGAAGCTGAAACGTGGAGAACTACAACCATCGTCAAGAGAAGGTACAAGTATTTACAAACAGTTGTTTACGCAAAATACTCAACATTCACTGGCAGAATACCATCAGCAGAAACCTTCTGTGGGAGAAAACAAATCAGATTCCAGGTGAAGAAGAAATTAGGAAAAGACGTTGGAAGTGGATAGGACGTACATTAAGGAAATCACCAAACTGCACCACGAGGTAAGCGCTAACTTGGAATTGTGAAGGGAAGCGGAAAAGAAGAAGGCCAAAGAACACATTAAGGCGGAAAATAGAAGCAGGTATGAAAAGGATGAATAATAACTGGTAAGAACTGGGAAGGATTGCCCAGGACAGGGTTGCACGAAGAGTGCTGGTGAGCAGCCTGTGCTCCTCCACAACGGGTGACAGGCATAAGGATAAAGGTGTTTTACAACCTATAAAATTAAGAAACTGAAAGTCGCAATTTTTTATGATTAGATTAATTTTTACTAACAATATATTCAACAAATGAAAGAAAAACAAACAATAATTTACTGATTGTACATCAATCAGAATGATTGTTTATAATTCCCAAATCTATTATAGTCTTTTTATTGAAATAGAGTAGTAGATTAACATTTAAATAATCTAACTAAAGGTAAATCAAGGTGGCCATTGTCCTACATTAGTTTTATTAAAATCAGTTGAAAATATCGAAAATATAAATGTTTCTTAAAACTCTTATAGTAGCCAATGATCATTTATTGAATGTCTGGTAAAGAAATTAAATTAAAGTAATGCCCATGAGAAAAAAATGATTTTGTTTATTACAGCTTAAGATGGACTAAAAGTTACGTCCTAATTTTGTTGATGCCAATTTTAAAATGCTGCGTATTGTGAAATTTTATTTTAAATATTTTTTTAATATTTTTATTCAAATGATTATAGCTTGTTTTAAAAATAGAGAATTAAATATTGATTACTAGTCTGTATGTGACTTAATTGTATAATGAAAGAGTTAAAATAATCATAGAATAGCTTTAAATTAATTTTACTGCTACGTAGTTGCACCATTTTTAGATCTATGAAAGAATATCTGTATTCACTATTACAATATTGAATAAATTAAAAAATTTAATTTTCTTGTTTGATTAAATAAAATATTATTTACAATAAGAATAGTTTTCCATAATTAACATTTTGAAATATTCACTTTGTTATTAGTTTAAAGTTATAGTACTAACTAAAATTAGTAGTTGTTTTATTATTGTAATGAAAATTCTTCAGAATTATTACAATAACAATTTGTGAATAATAAATACTATCAGAAGGAGGTTTAGTGGAGATTTTAGTAATTTTATATAGTTGAAATCATGGGTCAATTGTAGTTAGACCACCATGGAAAATCTGGAAGCACTGGACGGCCGTTTCGTCCTATTGTGGGACTCCTCAGCAGTGCGCATCCACGATCCCGCCCCGAGAGATTTGAACCTAGGACCTATCAGTCTCCTGCCGACGGGTCACTGAGCCGGTATCCAACGGTGCTCACTAGTGACTGGTTCCATAAAGTATTTCCTCGAGTTCTAGTGAGAAGCAGTAACCAGGGGAGTTCAATCAGGTCTGTTGGGAGATATCAACTCACTGAAGAAATTGGTGAATGGTTACTCAATTTCGTGGGTTGATTGGATTTAGACACTAACACTGTTGGGTGCCGGCTCAGCGGTTTATCGGTTAAGTGCTCCGGCGCGAGACTGCTAGGTCCTGGGTTCGAATCTCGCTCGCGTGCGGGATCGTGGATTCGCACTGCTGGGGAGTTTCACAATAGGACGAAACGGCCATCCAGTGCTTCTAGGTTTTCCATGGTGGTCTAACTACAATTGACTCTTGATCTCAACTATATAAAATAAATAGTATATTTTATTTAGTTAAAAAGTTATTTATTAAAAAACTCATTTATCTAAAAATTCTATGTTCATAGTTACGTAGATAATATCTTTTCTATTATATATTTTGTCGTAATTCTGTTTTAAAAACACTGAATAGTAAAATAATTTAAATTATTGACTTATTAAAAGTCGGTAATTTGACACTATTTATTTGTTTAAACAATGTCTAAAAGAATAAAATAAAAAAATTTGACTCATAAAATATATTTATTTGATATGTAAAAAGAGGGGGGTGTTTTATGATCAAAGATGTATTCAGTTATTAATTTTAATCAAATAAATTATACTGAGATATTTATCAGGTTGTTTTTTCTAATGTAATCAGGTATTTCAAAAACGTCGTTGAAAAAAAGGAATTGATACTGGTAATAATATTTAAACAAACTTTTCCACTAAATTAAATTACTCTACATTATACCAACTAAATGTGTAGAGATTTCACAGCTAAACCTTATAAATTTTGGTTTCTGACAGACTGTAAATGTGATAGTTTGAATAATTTCCTGGTTAGCGTTTTTTTAGCGAGTTAATTTTCTACGGGATGGGGTCGCCAATCCATGCCCAACCCTCCTCCTTTATGCGTGTTCGGGACCGTCAGTAGCCCCCAGGAGGGGCTACAGGCGGAGTGATATGTGATCGTACAATATTACAAATTTTCTGTCTATAAAATTTAAACTTTATTTTATCTCGGCAGTTTAATTTTCAAAAATGGTAGAATCATATTAATATAAGAATAATGGATGCATTGAACAAGCTTTGTATATGCGTCTATATGTATATAATAAACGTAAAATGATATGAAACATCGAGGTTATTGTGTATTTCGAAACAATGTTTACGTTCAATTATCATGTGATTAACTTAATTATCTTTATATTTCTATATTTTCTTCCAGTTTTGAGTAACCTGATATTTTCCTCCTTATTCATTTCGAAGTTACATTCTGTCATATTTTTCTTAACTCACTACATTCAATGCTTTTCAATAGAATCCATTAAGTTCATTTTCATTAGTATTTTACCTTTAATCATATCATGTTTTCATTTATAACGATCTTTATTTACCTAATTCACCATCACAACGATCTTTCATTTTGCATTTGTGTCTCTTATATATTCAAATTTTTCGAGTCACTCTAACGATGTAGATTTTATTCTATCTTATCCATAATAATGAACTTTTGTCTATAAATTTTACTCATCGTTATTAAGTATACTAACAAGCATAATGTGGTCTACCTTCAACTGACTCATGATCT